AATGTTGTTATGGGTAAAGCAAAGAATTTGGGTGCAGTAATGGTCCTACATTGAAATCTTAGCTCTACCACTCCTTACATTTAACTTCCCAAACTGCAGTTCTCTTATTAGATAGTGAAGGATGTTAACACTTAGCAGAATTGATGGGAAAGTAATTTATATGTAATCGGTAGCATATAGTAGACATTGAGTAAATGAGTTTTATTGTCAAAGCATGACTGATAGGGCCTGTTCAAATTAAATGATAGCTAACGGGCTTGGCCCAATTTGCAGCATATTTTTAGTTAACAGAATTGTTCTCAAGTTTCCCCTCTTTTGGGCCTCCTTTTTGTTATCACCTGAATCCTTGCTAATGCCAGGGGAAGAAAAAGAATAGTTGAAATAAATAGCATGCAAATATTATGAGTAAAATTAGACTCTGAATTTTTTGAGAACAGGGAAGAGGTTTTATTACATCTTTTTGTTTCCAGCATCAAGTACAGAGACTGGTATATGATAAGCACATATTAGGTAACTCTGAATCAATAAAATTCAGAAATGAATTAATTTGATTTAATTTATGAACAACTAAATAGTCAGGTGGTGGTCAGAGGTTTTACACAGTGTCATTCTCTACCCCCAGATATCTCAAATGTGATAAAAATCTGTCAAGTCATATACTCCAAGCGGCAGGGTTGCTCATACCTCAGTCATGATTTTTCAGAGCCCAAATCAAAGCCAGCAATGTTCTATATCAGCTGACAAATGGGTCATGGTAGTATTCCCAAGAGAAAAAAAAAATGTGATCTCTAAAACCCAGGAGGATTGGCAAATGTGCTTCCATTTTGGTGGTAATAGGCACAATATGCAATGGCTTGTTCTTTAGTGGGAATGTCCTGGAATGCTCCAGATCATTGAACCCCTAAAAACTTCACTGATGTGGCAGGCCTCTGAATTTTTGTATAGTTTATCCCCCATACTCTGAGATTCATGTGCCTTAGCAAGGCAAAAGTACTTGCCACTTACTGCATAACAGGTCCAATTAACATAATAGTATTGATCTATTGAACTGATGTGATGTTCTGCAAATGGCCAAACAGTTCAGGTCCCTCTGGATTACATAATGGAAGATAGTACATGAATATTAACATTAGGGTAAGATCATGGATGTATATTATCACCTATCCTGTGAGAGTCTCATAACAGGTATAGTTGAAGCCACTACTTGATCTAGTTTGGCTATCATTGCCATTATTCATCAGTTTTTTCAGAAGCCAGGCTGATGAATTAAATGAGAATATGGGAGGGACCATCATTCTTTAAAGTTTTGAGGGAGATACTAAACTCTGCTATTCCACTATAATGTGATAGATTTTTTATTTATTATCTTAGCCATTGTCAAAGAGCAGTTTCAAGGGCTTCCACTGGCTCTTTCTTACTACTACAGTAGCTCATGGTCTACAGATCAAGAAACTTACATGAGGACTGGGTTTGCGGCTCAGTGGTAGAGCAATTGGCTAGCAAGTGTGAGGCACTGGATTCAATCCTTAGCACCACATAAAAACAAATAAAGTAAAGATATTGTGTCCATCTATAACTAAAATTTTTTAAAAGAAATTAATGTGAAGGTTCTGCCAAATCTATGTTTATCATTTCAATTATACACTCAGAAACAGGAGAAACAAGTGGGTAGGTAAGACAGACCTGGGCTAGGATTCCATTTATTACCTGACCCACATATATTGCCATTCCAGTAGGGGGACCATGCTAATGTGTTAGGTCCCAGGTATTAGTGTTAACTTGGATCCTGTATCCAACAACCCTAGAAAAATCTGGATCATTTCCTTATTCCAGTGTAGTTTTCTGAATAAATAGCCATTCGTTTCTTTGGAGAAGAAGTAGGGGGGGCTAGGGATGTGGCTCAAGCGGTAGCGCGCCCGCCTGGTATGCATGCAGCCCGGGTTCGATCCTCAGCACCATATACCAACAAAGATGTTTTGTCCGCCGAGAACTAAATAATAAATATTAAAAAAAAAAGAAGTAGGGGAATCACTACTATATATATTTGCTGTGGTTTATCAGGGTCCTTCTGAAATAGAAGCATGGCCATCAACCTTCAGTTGATGGTTTCTGGGTCTGAGAACTGACAAAGATTTGTGACTTCAATGTAGTAACTGAACTCAGCCTTCTCCTCATTCTTTAATTTTTATTTTTTAAATATTTATTATTTTTAGGTGTAGATGGACACAACACAATGCCTTTATTTTTATGTGGTGCTGAGGATCAAACCCAGGTCCCGCCCGTGCTAGGTGAGCGCTCTACCACTGAGCCACAATCCCAGCCCTCATTCTTTTATTTTTATAAAATAAGTTTTTAATTGAGGTTAAAAAAAACAGCATAAAATTTGCCATCTCAACCATTTTTAAGTTCAGTAGTATTAATTATGTTCACATTGTTTTGCAACAGATCTCCAAAAACTTTTCATCTTGCAAAACTGAAACTTTATCCCACTAAACAACTTCTCATTTTACCCTTCTTCAGCCCTTGGAAAGCATTGTTCTACTTTCCATTTTTATGAATTTTACCACTTTTAATCCACTATATAATTGGAATCATATATCATTTGTCTTTTTGTCTTCTCAACTTTTTTGTGGGGTGGGAGGGTACCCAGGGACGCTTAACCACTGAGCCACATCCTTAGCCTTTTTTTATTTTTGGTAGTTGTAGATGGACAGAATGCCTTTATTTTATTTGTTTATTTTTATGTGATGTTGAGGATCTGAACTCAGTGCCACACGCTTGCTAGGCAAGTGCTCTACCACTGATCTACAGCCCCAGCCCATCCTTAGTCCTTTTTATATTTTATTTTGAGACAGAATCTTGCTAAGTTGCTTAAGGCCTCACTAAGTTGCAGAGGCTGGCTTTGAACTCGGTGATCCTTCTGTCTCAGCCTCCCAAACTGCTGGGATTACAAGCATGCACGACCTCATCTGTCTTCTCATCTATTCTTTTATAATTAAAAAAAATTGTAGTTGTAAATGGGCAGAATACCTTTATTTTATTTGTTTATTTGCCACATCCCTTCTTTTTTAATATTTATTTTCTAGTATTAGTTGGACACAATACCTTTATTTTACGTATTTTTTTTTATGTGGTGCTGAGGATCAAACCCAGGGCCTTGCATGTACTAGGTGAGTGCTCTACGCTGAGCCACAACTCCAGCCCTCATCCCTTCTTAATCTCTTTTAGTCACATATAGTGGGCAATCTATCCCATTATAAGAGCACCATGTTCTTTGAGTCATCTTCAAAATTCTTACAGGCCGTGCCCTCATGGCTACCATTCTGAAATTCAGTATACTCTTTGGCACACGATTAAGTGCTATCAACTAGCTTCTGCTGTGCTGAGATCTTATTTGCATTGCTACTAAGGAGTCCACCATCTCCCACCATCAGTCTAACTTAGGATAGCTACTACAAAATTCAATCATGCTGTGACTTCCCCCAACTTGCTGCCTTGGTAAATCAAGGCCCTTCTGAAAAGCATGATCAACATTCTCGTAGATTTTCCAGACTTAAGTATTGTTCCATTCCAGTAATTCTCAGTGCTTTTTGTTTTGTTTGTGCTAGGGGTTGAACCACCCATACTAAGCACATGCTCTACACCCCATCCCCATCTGAGCCCTTTGATTCCTTTCACCATAGTTTCCCATGGGTTGTGATACTTTCTTATGTAGATGTGTACTGTCAACTTCTCAAGCTTTACAAAGCCACCTCAGCTGTATATTGAGTTAATTCTTAGGGCCCTGTTAAATCTTTCACAGGAGAGTGCCCCAATTTTTTTTTCAGTACTGGGAATGGAACTCAGGGATATATGTATGCTAGGTGACTACTTTACCATTGAGTTATAGCCCCAGCCCGAGAGTGCCCCAGTATTGACGAACATTCCTATCCATCTTTAAAGTCCACTCCTATTTATCCAGCCCTTAAACATACTCTCCAGGCACTCACCTGTAGATGTAAGTCAGATTGTACAACTACTTTATTTCTCTTTCCCCTTAGCAGATCCTGTGCTCACCCAGTTGTACATTTGATCCTAGTTATGGATCTGATGGCCAGTAGGAATGATCAAGATGGATCCTGAGCAGAACCTGTGTTGTTTTATAAGGTACCCACAAACAAGAAAGAAGCTGGCATTTATCTTCCTACCTGGGACATTATAGAAATGTAAGCCCAGTGGAGTAAAAATAATCATAAAATTCAAGCTTCTCAAATGCATCTGTCTACATATCTTCACTCCTAATCTAAGTGTCCTGCTTCTTCCCTGTTAGGACCCAACTTTTTGTGAGACTTGCCTATGCTAAAATGCAAGCCTTTTCTAAAATCTCCCACTCTTACAATTCTGCCTAGTAAATAACTAGCTGCAAGAGTGAGGTTTTCTTTAAATGACACCAGTGAGGTTCTTTGCTTTAAATTACTGATTGATACATCTGAGTCTATCATTTTCTTTCATCAGTTTTGGCATTTAGCAACAGTACCCACTACCACAATCCTGATAGCTGTTATTTCCCATATATCAAATGCTGGGACATTGCGCCAGCTAGACAGAGAATCCCCTTCCTTCTACCTCCGTATCACCACAACTCCCCACAGTGAAAGTCTTAAAGATAGCATGCCAGGGATTCACCTGGCATACACCACGTTCACTTCATATACCACGTTGCCACCTAGTCCTTGTGTGATTCAACTCTGGAGTTCTATACTTAGAGTCTGCTTCCTAGGACCACTCTTGGTACCAAATGTCTTAAATTAGAGTCCCTAGACACAGAGCCTGAGACAGAGATTCTGGTTCAAGTGATTTATTGAAGAATTTGTTCTTAAGAAGAGAGGAGAGATGGAAGCAATTTAGTGTAGAGGAGGGAAAAAAAGGAATAATATGGATTCTAAGGCCAGCTTCAGTCTCATCCCACAGGGAAATTCTGAAACAAGAACTGTATCCCAGTCTGGGATGGTGGCACATACCTGTAATCCCAGGAGGTGAAGCCAGCAGGATTGCCAAATTCAAGGCCAGGAGCTGGGCATAGTGGTGGGTGCTTGTAAATTCCAGATACATTAGGCTAAAACATGAAAATTGCAAGTTCAAGATCAGCCTGGGCAAAATGGTGAGAACATGTCTTAAACAAAAATAAAAACATAAACAAAATCCAGGAGCTAGGTGGATATAGTTTAATAAAATAGTGCTTGCTTAGCATGTGGGTTTGATCCCTAGCATCACAAAATACAAAAAAATGTTTGTCAAGCTACGAAGACCCAAAACATATAGTAGTAATATTATCTTCAACTAAGAATACATGTTTATAGGGCTAGGGTTGTGGCTCAGTGGTAGAACATTTGCCTAGTACACGTGAGGCACTGGGTTTGATCCTTAGCACCACATAAAAATAAAGGTATTGTGTCCATCTATAACAACAACCAAAAAAACTTAAAAAAAACATGTTTACAATCCTTGTCCACAAACCCAAACTTCCAATTCAACTAAAAATGGTTTAAGCCATATATATATTTTAGTATGTATTTTTTTTAGTTGTGGGTGGATATAGTACCTTTATTTTATTTTTATGTGGTGCTGAGGATTGAACCCAGGGCCTCATGCGTGCCAGGAAAGCACTCTACCGCTGAGCCCAGCTATATGTTTTAATAAATTTGGTGCAAATGCCACAAAAATAAAAATGTGAAGTAATGCCTCAGATACAAATACATATGACATATGAGCTATACTATATTTTTTTAAGAGAGAGAGAGAGAGAGAGAGAGAGAGAGAGAGAGGGAGGGAGGGAGGGAGAGAAAGAGAGAGAGAATCTTTTTTTGTAGATGGACACAACACAATGCCTTTATTTTTATGCGGTGCTGAGAATCTAACCCGGGTCACGCCCGTGTTAGGTGAACACTCTACCTCTGAGCCACAATCCCAGCCCTATACTATATTTTTTAATTAAAAAATTCTTAATTCTAAAATAAATATGACTTCAAACATTTTGGATAAGGAAGTATATATAGATCTGTTGCCACCATTTGTTAAGTTGCAAATATGACATACATTTTTCAGAAGTAATCCTTAATAGTTCTACAATAGGGATTTGCATTTCCCCTTTTTCAAGTAATGACAGAGGCATATAAAGGTTACTTATTCAAGGTCACAAGTTAATAAATGGGAAAGTCAGATCTCTGAAACTTCAAAGCCTGCTCCTTCCCATTACACCATGCTATGTCTGCTAGTAAAATCATTGCTAGTCTATATGTGATATTAACTGCCTGTGATCCATGATGTTTTACAGAGAACACTGTGACTTCTAGAAGCTCTATTACCTGAACAGTTTGAAAAATCCCTGGACTTCATAATTTTAAATGTCTTCTCCACCTCCTGGGATTCTGTATGACTTAATAAATTCTAAGCAGACTGTCAATGGTAGATTATTACTATTGTTATTTTAGCATTTTATGGAGGATATGTACTTTGCACAAAACTGAGTACTTACTAGCAGTTATTTTTCTCAGAGAGTAATTTGCATGGGATCCAGAAAGGACAGCTTATAAGAATATCAATTCCAAGTAAAAAGAAAATGGATTTGGGAGTTAGACCTAAATACATATCTAATTTTTGCCACTTCATTCATTAGCATATAAAGACATTATGTTACTGTGGGATATTGGGGGAGTAGTCTTGGTCTTTTTAGATGCCATACTATCTAACTATATCTATGTATCTTCTTAAATTTTGCAAAATATTTACCAAGATATAAAATAAATCAAAGATCCTTTCTATAGATAATTTTAAAAATGGTTATGAAAATATGACTTTTTTCTTTTACAAAAATGAGCAATAAAACATTCATATCATGTATGTGCTTCATGGTATGACTGGCCACCAAGGTCAGGTTGTCTTGACTATGACTAAAACCAGGGAACCAGATTCCAGGCCATGGATAAACTTTGCAATGATTCTTTTATCTGATTCAACATTACAGATTAGAATATCCTACCCCCATACTATCCACACTCCAGCTCCTCAAGCACACGGGACAGCAAGTAGAGCATAGAAATGTCTTTGTATTGCATAATTTCCTCCATAAAGCTCTGTGTTGTCTACCAGAGGTACTGGTTGTTTGCACCAGTGACCATCCACTCCTGACAATAATGAAGGATAAAAGAGGATTCCTACTTTACCACTTGTGTTATTTTGCCTTTTATCTCCCTTGTCTTCCTTTCCTCAGGGGTTTCAGGGATGATTTGGAATGGCAACAATAAAGCTGAGCAATGAAACACATTAGGCAGTTGGTTGTGAGAGTCATTTCCTTAACCTTACTGACTGGGCTTAATAAAATAGAACTAAAACCCAAGACATAGTATGTGAAGTTTCCCACAGATTTGATTTTGCTCTAAACTCCAGATTGGCATTCAATCATGACCACTAATTTACTAAATTACATAATCACTTTTTTGTCACTGATAGTCTTGCTTGTGAATTAGTTTGGCTTATTTAGACTCTCACATTTGAATATATTTTCTTAAAAATATTTTTTAGTTGTCAATAGATTTTTTTACTTTATTTATTCACTTATATGTGGTGCTGAGGATCAAACCCAGGGCCTCACACATGCCAGGCAAGTGCTCTACCACTAAGCCACTGCTCTAGCCCCTTATATTTGAATATATTGATCTTTAAGTGCATTAGGAGCTGTTTTGGAGACAAAATGGTGAGAGAAAGGAGTGGCATTGAGAACCTCATCTGTAGACACCCCTTTATCCACACTGACCCCTGCTCTTCTCATGAATTCTAGTCAGAACACATGAATTTTCCTTCTCTGGATAGGCTATGTCAGTTCATGACTTTTAGAAAGTAGATACCAAGACAGAGATAAATTGCAACATTTATTGGGGATAACATCTGTGGAAGAGAAGGAGCAGGAGTAGTCAGTAACTGAGCATCACACTTTTTACAATATTGTCTCCAGAATAAAAGTCAGATAATATCTGGACATGAATATACTCATCATGAACTCTAGCAGTTAAAAAGAAAAGACACATTCATAATTTTAAGTACTCCTTTTCAAAGGTAGGGGGTAGTAGTCTGGGACCTAGAAGAATCCAAGATGGAATTAATCATGCAAGGATTTTATTAAGGAAAAACACCAATTTAAGAGAAATTAGGTCCAGAGCTGGAACAGGTTGAAGGAGCTGTCAGACTGTTATACAAGTCTGATCCTGAGTGTAGGAGTGAAGAAGAAGGTTGAGAAGAAATATTGTAGTCTGCTTTGCAGTCTGAGGAAGGTTTTCCAAAGTCATTGGGGCTTCTTCAACTTAAGTCAACCATCAGAGGAGTTCCATATCTCCCAGGAATAGGTTTACCTTAGTATTTCTGCCACACAATGGGTCATACCTAAATTTGTATTTATGTATGGCCTAAATACAAATGGATTTCAGTATCTCTGGAACCTTGGCAATTACCCTCCCTGTAACTGGAGATTTGCCAGTTGCATTCTTATGGTAAACCCAGGGAGATAATACAAAATATTGCATAAAAATATTTCATGGGCTGGGGCTGTGGCTCAGAGGTACAGTACTTGCCTAGCATGTGTGAGGCACTGAATTCAATCCTCAGCACCACATAAAAATAAATAAATAAAATAAAGGTATTGTGTCCATCTACAAAATAAAAAAATATATAAAATATTTCATAACATATACATACATGGGCAGGTATCTGCTTTACTCTTTTATTGTCAAAGTAAAATTAAATAACTTTATACCTATAGTTATATTTAATTTGAATAACAAGCCTGAGGTAAGTATTACTGTTATCTGTATTTTTATCAACAAGGAAAATATGTATCAGAAAGGTTAAGTAACTTGTCCAAAATCACACAGCTCCAAAGTATCATGGCTAGAATTTAAATAGATTTGCCTAACTCTAAAACTGATGTGACAGGACTGGGGTTTTAGCTCAGAGGTAGAGTACTTTCCTAGCACTGGATTCCATCCTCAGCACCACATAAAAATAAATTAATTAAATAAAGGTATTGTGTCCATTCACAATTAAAAAAATTTTTTTTAAAAAAAGAAGCTGGTGTGACAGGTACCTGAGTTGGTGAACAAACAGTCCAATGCTCAAGGAGTACTGATCCCAATAACATACTCCTTCCCTGTCCCCTGGTCTGGATAACTAACATTTGTGGATGACTTCTGGTCACTATGCTAAGTAACACTGTCTCACTCAGTCCTCAACATCTTCCCTTTTGGTTTGGTTTTACTAACCCTGTTTTACATATGAAAAAACAGGTTTGGAAAATTTTTAATATATAGTAACATTTTTTGAACTCTTACTATAAGCTAGGGCTTTTTATCAATGATTTGTACATTATCAATTGTACATTTAACCCATTTAATCCTCACAATAACCTTGTGAAGTAAGTGCTTTTATTATTACTATTTTAATAGATGAGGACACTAAAGCACACTTGGAAATACAACCAAGTAAGTGGTAGATTGAAAGCTTGGTACTCTCGTTCCACGGCTTACTTGCTTAGCTACTGTGACAAACTGTTCAATGTCAGGACAGCTGGATTTAAATCCCAGGTTTGTTTGACTCTAAATTATTCTTTGTACTGGCTATACTTTGCTCTTCTGCTAAATTGTTCCTGATTCATCATTCATTTCAAAAACACTCACTGAGTACCTATGGTATACTCCTGTGCTATGTACCAGGGAAATAGAGATTATCCAAACAATCAAAAACTATAAAAAGCAAGAAAGAGGGGCTGGGGATGTGACTTGAGCGGTAGCACGCTCGTCTGGCATGTGTGCGGCCCAGGTTCCATCCTCAGCACCACATACAAAAAAAAAAACAAAAAACAAAAAACAATGATGTTGTGTCTGCCAATAACTAAAAAATAAAATATTAAAATTCTCTCTCTCTCTCTCTTTAAAAAAAGCAAGAAAGAAAGATCTCTGTATACTGATGCAGCATAATTTCTGAGATCTAAGTAGAAAAGCAAGGTGCATATGTATTTTTTATTGGAAAAAAGGAATTACTAAAAAACTGGTCTGAACTCTCAAAAAATGTTAATGTGATGAATGGCAAATAAAAAGGGCTGAGGAGGGAGTATGAAGTGTTAAGTTGTAAAATTTAAAGGATCTCAGATGTTATTTCATTTACACACACACACACACACACACACACACACACACACACAATGCTAGACTTCTGTTCCTGGATCAGGGATAAGACTGTTTTTACTGACACAGTAGTCTTAGCACCAGTTTTCTATGCTGCATTTTCCAGTAGGGTGATATAACAAGGACTTTCATATACAGTATTATTTGTACAAAATGAGAGAAACTCCAAAATTATGAATTTTCAGAACTTATCTAGGATGGCTTCACAGTTGCCCATCCTTCCCTCAAACAACCCTAATTAGAAGTGACTATTTCCCCAGATCTTACTTTTAAAATTGATGGTATAAAGAAAAGGATTAAACATTTATCAAGTTTTAAGAAAGAACTCTAGTTCATTCCCAGTTGGAGGTAAGGTTCTTTTCAGAAAAATGCCAGCTTAATAAGTGCAGAAGAAATGACAGAATTAGAAAAATCATCACATTTCAACCACCAGTGAAATCACTGATTCACATAAGCCTTTCAATAGATGTTAAAAGGTAAAAGATCGTATGTAGAATCTAAGTACAGCTTTGTAGTTAACTTGTATGTTGCAAGTGTGTGTATGAGTGGAAAGAGAGTATTTTGCATCATTTTAACCAAATTATCACACTTAGCATCATTAAGACTGGGCCAACTTGACATCACGTGCCTCCCTATGTAATGGAATATGAAGTTCCCAATATTTCCTATGAAACAGTTTTGCCAAAAGTGTCTATCTTAAATTTAGTCAATTTAGATTTAACTTCTTAATTTAACTTCTACTTAATGAAAATCCAAACAGTCCAGAATGTGGAACATTTTTTAAGATAATAGGTCTCATCAGTTCAAAAAGTTTTATTGTAATTTTTTAAAAGTGAGACAACTGTTTCAGATTAAAAGGATATAAGAAACATAGTAATCCAATGCAGTGACTGAATACTGATAGAAAATCAAACAAAACTAACTACAGAAGACACTTGAAGACAATTGGTAACATGATATTAAAGAATTGTTAATTAATTAGGTATAATAATGGTATTTTCTTAATTATTAGGTTTATGCTGAAATATTTAATGGTAAAGTGTCATGGTATCTGCAACTTTCATATAGTAAAGAGAATAACAAAGCAAATATATTAAAATATTAATTACTAAACATAGAAAGTTAAGTATGTGGGCATTTATTTAAATTTTTCGTATGTACAAATTTTTTCCACAATCAAGAGTTTTGGGGGAAATCGAGATCTGTATTCCCAAGGGGAATAAGAACTGAAGGAGGGGTGTAAGGAAGTGAGGTTTATGTGGAAGACTGGGAAGTTACCTGATAACAATTACAATACAAGCCTAGCATGGTGACACACACCTGTAATCCCAGTGGCACAGGAGTCTGAGGCAGAAGGATGGCAAATTTAAAGCCAGCCTCAACAATTCAGCAAGGCCCTGAGCAATTTAGCAAGACTTAGTCTTGGGGATGTTTCAGGTTCTCTGGGAAACCCTTTGAGTCAGAGATAAGCGGGAAGAGGCCTTATTGAGGCATGCACTTACCATCAACACCTGAGAAGTGAATGACCCATGACTGGGGGCAGAGGAAGAAGTTAGACTGTGATGCAACTGCAACAAAATCTGCTGATCCTACCAGAGCTCAGGAGCAAAATAACCCTCTAGAATCATCCGAAATTGAGACAAAGGGGTGGCCTTTATGGCCTTTATGTCTCCCACTGACCCCACCACCAGCCAGTCATTGGATTCAGACTGCATTTATGAAGGAGGCATAATTTCTGAGATCTAAGTAGAAAAGCAAGGTGCAAATGTATTTTTTATTGGAAAAAAAGGAATTACTCAAAATCTGCCCTTGGATGGGCAACTCCTTGTAATAGGCAGTTCTCAGAGAGGAACTCAGAAGCTGGAGATATGCCTGCCTTGATCTAGAACGGGGGATCTGGGTAGTATATAACAGTGTCTATTTCATTTCCAGACTACATTACTGGGTACTCAAAGCCACACTGTACAGGAGTTTTGCTTCATCTGGTCTTGCTGTGATGTCCCCATCAGACACTTTTATTCAATTCTACATGTATCATAAATTCCTATTATTTATGCAAATCTAAGTGAGTTTCCTAACAACCCTGAAAAACTTAATTGAAACAATACATGAACAGGGCATAGTATCATATGCCAGTTACTTGGGAGGTGAAGGCAGGAGGATAACAAGTTCAAGGCTAGCCTCAGCAACTTAGAGAGACCCTGTTTCAAAATTTTAAAAAAAATGTACTTCAGTGGTAGAGAGCCCCTGGTTTCAATCCCTAGTACCACAAAACAAATCAACTAACAAGCAAAACTCAACTACTAATTGAAATACAAAGTTCTACTATTTGAAGTCTAGCTTCACTCTCTGTTTCTGAATCCTATAGTTCAGTACAACAATCAGAATCTGAAATTTTACTACAGAGATTTCAGTAATGGCAAAAAACTCAAGATTCTATATTTGTAATACTCCATTCTAATCTATGACTCCAGGTTCTATTTTTGATTTCCAAGTTCTGTCAAGTCTGAGATTCTAAAACTGAACTTCAGATGCCAAAATTAGAAGGCAGATTTTCTTTTCATTTAATAAAGTTTTTTTTTTAGTTGTAGATGGACACAATATCTTTATTTTATTTTTTGAAATACTTTTTTAAGTTGTGGATAGACCTTTATTTATTTATTTATATGTGGTGCTGAGAATCAAACCCAGTGCCTCACACATGCCAGGCAAGTGCGCTACCATTGAGCCCCAGCCCCAGCCCAACAATACCTTTATTTTATTTATTTTTTTATGTGGTGCTGTGAATTGAACACAGTGCTTCATACATGGTGGGTGAGTACTCAACTACTGAGCCACAACCCTAGCCCACACTTTTCATTTTTAACCCCAGATTTGACACTTAGTTTTCTAACTTCTAGCTAGAAGATGCTGAAAAGGGTTTCTTGAGAATTTGCCAAGTTACATAATACTTCATATACTCATAAATTGAGCTCTCAACTTTTTGGAATAACCAATCTCTTGATGAATGGATTATCTTAGCAATGGCTACTGCAGTAGGGAACCAGACTGGCCCCTGGCAAAACTGCTATTAAGGAAACTTCCTAGTTTTCCTTTCCTTTCCCTCACCTACCTTCTTATCTTCCTGGCTTTTCTTCATATCCCAAGGCTCATTATACCTTCTCATGGTGGCCATCAAACCTACTTAATTCAAATGACATTCAAGAATATATTTGGAACTTTTTACATTAAAGTACAAATGAATTAAAATATTTCATACAGTCTCCTCACCCTGTATAAATATTTAAAATTTAAAGGCATAGCCAAAGAGTGGAAGCTCCTGAAGTAACATTTTACACATTTTCAAGGAGTGGAAGAGTTAATTTGAAAGGAAAATCACAAGACTTCCCTGTTGAACTTTTGAAATCATGTCACCTAATTGATTCTAGGATTTGGAAAAGTCTCTTTTCTTCAAATGGGGATAGGAAATCATGCAGATAGGGCAAGCGGCCTGGCTCAGTGACAAAGTACTTGTCTCTCACCTGTGAGGTACTGGGTTTGATCTTCAGCACCACCTAAAAATAAACAAACAAAACAAAGATATTGTGTCCACCTATAACTAAGAAGTTTAAAAGAAAGAAATCATGTGCATAATATGTGTAGAAGAGATTTGCGAATATTATGTAAATATTAGTTATTGTAATTATCACTCTCTCTTTTCTCTGCTATGACCGTGACTACTGTGCCACCTTTCGGACATTGTTTAAATTACACTGTTATTTGTCTTGAGTATCACCCAACCATATTAGATTTTTCTTGGCATAATTGAAGATCCCTTGGGAAAAAAGTTTCCTTGGTTGATTTCACTGAATTTATAATAAATTATTTAATATTAATGAGTTAAAATTATCTAATTAACATTTACCAATGGAAAGGAGCAGGGAAACAAGGATGGAGAAGTCTTAATTCCTACACTTGAAATATGCCAGTGCGTTAGGGAACTTCATAGCGTAGATGATCTTCCACCTGGTTCTTGAGAAAGCATTAAATTTTAGAGGAAAAAAAATGCTTTTGGCAGAGAAAACAGTATGGGAAAGCGCAGAGCTGTAAAAGTGCCTTTAAGACTGGCAAATTGGCTTTTTCTGTTACTGCTGCGCGGCGCGTGAGCCCTAAGCAGCAAAGTCTGTCGGGACACCCTGCAAGAGGCGGTGCGGGAAGTCCTGCACCGGAACCAGCGCAAGCGCCGCAAGTTTCTGGAAACGCTGCAGCTGCAGATTGGAGAACTATGCTCCCCAGGACAAGCGCTTCTCAGGCACCGTCTGGCTTAAGTCCACTCCCCACCCTAAATTCTCAGTGTGGGGCCCGGGGAACCAGCAGCACTGGCCAAGGCTGTGGATATCTCCCACATGCACATGGAAGCGCTGAAGAAACTCAATAAGAATAAGAAGCTGGTCAAGAAATATGATGCCTTTTTGGCCTCAGAGTCTTTGATCAAGCAGATTCCACGAATCCTGGGCCCATACCTAAATAAGGATGGCAAATTCCCTTCCCTGATGACACACAATGAAAACAAGGTGGCCAAAGTTGATGAGGTGAAATCCACAGTCAAGTTTCAAAAGAAGAAGGTGCTGTGTCTGGCTGTTGCTGTTGGTCATGTGAAGATGACAGATGATGAGCTTGTCTACAACATGCACCTGGCTGTCAACTTCCTGGTGTCATTATTGCTCAAGAAGAATTGGCAGAATGTCTGGGCATTATACATCAAGAGCACCATGGGCAAGTCCCAGCGCCTGTATTAAGGCACATCCTAATAAATCCTAGTGCTACCAAAAAAAAAAAAAAAAAAAAGGTAAATTGCTCTGTGTAATCAGAGCTTTGGGTCTAAGGAAAGGGGAGGTGATGATAGTGATCAATAGTCAATTTCCACAGCTCCTTATTGTGTACAAAGCCCCTTTTAAACATGTCCTCAAGGGAAGTTTTATAACACAGTAGTTGATACCATGGGTGGTGAGGACATTTGTACTTTGCTTTAAATCTATGTTTTCTTTGTTTGTTTTTTGCTTTGTTTGTGGTGCTGGAGATTGAACCCAGTGGTGCTCTACTACTGAGCTAGATTTCAATCCCTTTTTTATTTTAAGACAGGGTCTTGTTAAGTTGCCCAGGCTGGCCTTGAACTTGGGATCCTTCTGCCTCAGTCCTCTGAGTTGCTGGGACTCTAGAAGTATTCCACAACACCCAATTTAAATCTTATATTTGACAACTGTTATATTTAACAATTGCTCTCTAAGTTTTCTTGTGTTAAAATAAAAGCACCTACTTCCCTTGTTAGAAGTTAACGCTTAATAACATAATCAATAGTTACATATGCTACTATTTTATCTGTGAGGTAGAAATTACTATCCCAGTATTACAGAGGAGGAAACAGGTTGGGACCAGAGAGTTAAGAACACTGAATGGAAAGTATAAAGTTTGGGCTTACTCTTTGTAGCCTTACTCTTTGTAGGCTACATTGGGGATTTGTTCTTCATTTGGGAAGATAGATACTCTTGTGTTTCTGCAAAGAAACAGAAATGAAATTAGTACCTCTTCTACTCAAAAACATTTTTCTAACGTGGAGTTTGTTTGATAATGTGAAAGGGCCTTTGGGCGAATCAGAGAGATGGCATAGTTCACTTCTGTGGGAACTGTGAACTGGGAGTCAGAAGACCAGGTGCTAACCCCAATTCTGTCTCTCTCATTCTATGTGATCCTGGAAAGCCCTGCCCCTTCTCTGGATTTTAGATTTTGTTTTTCTCATCTGTGAAGTGGGACATTTACATCCAGCCTTCTGGAAGAAAGTCATATACAGTCTTTTAGCTGACATGATCTCTAAGCACAGAAGTTCCCTGTCTAGACTGATATTTCTTATGGGGAAGACTGAGGCTTTTAAATTGGACTTTATCATGCAGATCACCATGATACCTATGCTAGGGTTGTAAGTATAGGTTTCTCTACCTGACAGATCACTGTTTATGAAGGGAAGTGTGATATAGAAACTGAACCTCTCCCAGTCTCAGCTTCTTCATCTGTAAAATCCCCACATCACTGGGTTATTGTGAGCTTAAATAAGAAATTATATCTTACAATATCTAGGATAGTATCTGGCACATATTTCAAATTCATTCACTTATAGCTGTTCCTCTTCACTGTCATTGTCTTAGGCCTAGCCTGGTCTACAATTTTGCTTGGGATTCTAAAAGAGCCTCTAGTTTCCAGTTCAAATTTCTACAGTTCCATTCCTCTGAGTAGCCAGAGTGATATTTTAAAAAACTGAATCATATTCCTTCCCTGATTGAAAACTCTCCAAAATTTCCCACTGTCTTGGATGTAAAAACCCAAATCCTTACCATGGGCGATCATGACTCTTGCCTGTCTTTCTCTGGGCTTATCTCTTGTCACTCAATCTTTGCTCAGGCCATTACAGTTACACTGGCTGACTGTTTCTTGGGTTATTTTCCCACACCAGGCCATTGTACACACCTCTTCTGCCTAACTACAACTTGCTTCTAGGTCTCAATTTACATATCACTTCCTCAAAAGGATTTTCCTGGCTCTTTCTAAGTCATTGTCTCTCAAGATCTCCCTGCCCCCATTATTCTAATAATCTCATATTCCAGGGCTTACACAATTTATAATTAATCCTTTATATACTTTCCCCAAAATAAGTACTTTAAATTTGTCTTTACATCTCTCTAACCCTACTACTGAGCACAATATGAAGATGTAGTTCTTAGGGAATGTTTATTAAATGAATGAAAGGTGGATAATTCGTTAGTTCTCTTTTCTTTTTCCTTCCTGTTTATATTTTTACAAAACACACTAAATGAATTATTTCATAACTAACCAAAAATTTTTTTTCATGTGTCAGGTTCCATTCATTTATCTTAAAGGTATGATTTTTTGTAAACTTGAGATCTGCGTTCCAATACTTGATCTGACATTTACGCTGTGGGATCCAGGACTGAACTTTGGTTTTTTATTCATTAAATGAAGAGTTTAGCATGAACATCAAAAGATCATTATGAAGAGTAAATGAGAGGGGGCATGGGGGTAGGAAAGATGGTGGAATGAGACAGACATCATTACCCTGGGTACATGTATGATTGCACAAATGATATGACTCTACATTGTGTACAACCAGAGAAATGAAAAATTTAGCTCCATTTGTGTACAATGAATCACAATGCTTTCTGCTGTCAGGTATAACTAATTGGAACAAATAAAAAATACAAATCAAGTTGTAAAAAAAAATTAAAAATCACTTAAAAAAGTAAATGAGAGGAGCTGGGATTGTGGCTCAGTGGTAAAGCGCTCGCCTAACACACGTGAGGCTCTGGGTTTGATCTTCAGTACCACATAAAAATAAAAAAATAAAGGTTATTGCATATACCTACAACTAAAACAAATATTAAAAAAATAAATGAGAATGTATATGAAGCACTTATAGTGAGACATGTTAAGTTTTATAAATGCTAGGGATTTATTTTTATTATTTTTTTTAGTTGTCATTGGACTTTTGTTTTATTTATTTATTTATACATGGTGCTGAGGATTGAACCCAATGCGTCACAGATGCTAGGCAAGTGCTCTTCCACTGAGCTACAACTCCAGTCCAATGGTAGTGATTTTGTTACTAATAAGTATAATAATAATTTTCTGAATATTCCTAGGTCTGCAGTAGAGTATTTTTGGCTACAGAAGACAACCAAATTTCATGACAGCATACCATGGGTCCAGTCCTGAAACTGGCTCTGAATTTGGGTACCGTGTGTCTTTGAGCTTCATTTTCCTCATCTATAAAATAGGTTTATTAACCCATTCCTATTTATCATACAAGGCCATTACAGGGTTCATACAGGATGGTATATGTACAAAGCCTTTTTTTTTTTTTTTTTGGTACCGAGGATTGAACTCAGGGGCACTTGTCCACTGAGCCACATCCCCAGCTCTATTTGTATTTTATTTAGAGACAGAGTCTCACTGAGTTGCTTAGTGCCCCATCATTGCTGAAGCTGGCTTTAAACTCATGATCCTCCTGCCTCAGCCTCCAGAGCCGCTGGGATTATAGGTGTGAGACTCTGCGTCCAGCTGTACAAAGCCCTTTTAAAAGTAAAGGGCTGGGACTGGAGCTATAACTCAGTGGTAAAGCGCTTTTCTAGCATGTGTAAGGACTGAGTTCAATCCTCAGCACCACATAAAGAAAAGGTATAAAAAATACAACATTATTAAAAATATATTTTAAAAAGAATTTTAAAAATGTAAAGGGCTGTATGTAAAAGTAAAGATCTATTGTATTAACTCTTGGCTCATCTCCCAAGGAGGCTGGGTAAATAAGATGAGGTTGAAATAATGACTAAAACCATAGGGAGAGCTTTGAGCTGGAAGCCAAGTTCAAACCTGACTCTCATAGGACCAGGCTTCTGTTTAATCCTCAATTAAAGAGAAAAGCCTGGATACCTCTTCAATGCCTTAGGGAGAAATGTAAAGAGAGGAGAGAAAAGTCCAAAAGTAATACATGGTATCTACCTCCCCTACTGCTGCCTGCCCTGAGAGAGAAAAGGACCTATGTCCTAATTTTCTTGGTTCTTTCTTCCCTCAGGGCAGGTACAAAGCCTTGTTATATTCCTGAAGAAAAGGCCTTTTCTTAGCTAAATGATGATGACTGTTTCACTCATCTTTACTGTTGGTCCTTACCCTAGCATGTCAACAAATTTTCCTGGATATCCAGGGAGGAGGTGTTAAAATGCAAAAAAGCAGCACAATTCAAAAGTCAATCATTAATCCATTCACTTGCTTGTGACCTTGGACAGGTCCTGGGCTTCAAGGCCCAAATATGTAAGATGGTAAGAAATGCTGGACTCTAGCATTTCTTTGCTTTTCCTTTCAGCCAGTGGTATACTGGGAAATGTTTAATTACTAGCTTTCCTAGTGTTGTTCTGACATTAATATTGGTTAATGTTTTGGAGTAAGATAAAAGTGAAACAATGAAGACATCTATTGGAACTTTACTCATCTGTCTATAATTTAAGTGACTTCTATGTTGAGTCAAATAATAGTTTTCAAATATTGGACATTACTAAATAATTTTGTGTTTTTCACAATGTAACAACTGAAGGCACAAATTTTAATTTTAATTAAAATTTTAATTTTAATCTGCATTGTTAATATTTGTTCTAACACTTTCTCAGGTTTAGATGATTAACAAATAAGCCCTGGCATATAGCATTTGATAATTTTGTTGGGATAAATATTCCTAGAATGACTAATTTCATAAAAGTTGTAAATTTTGATAAGGTCCAGTTTATCAAAATTTTTTCCTTAGTTGCTTGAACTTTTGTGTCATAGCTTCTTAGCTCTATTGCATAATCTAAGGTAAAGATTTACATTCACATTTTCTTTGAAGAATTGTGTAGTTTTAGCTTTTGTATACAGGTCTTTGATCCACTTTTGAGTTAATTTTTGTATAAGGCATGACATACAAGTTCAACTTCATTCTTTTTTTTAAAATTTTTTTTAAAAAATTTAAGTTGTAGGCAGACAAATACCTTTTTTTGGTGATTTATTTCTATGTGGTGCTGAGGATCAAACCCAGTGCCTCACACGTGCAAGGTAGGCACTCTACTGCTGAGCCACAATCCCAGCCCCTCAACTTCATTCTTTTTGCATGTGGAAATTCAGTAGTGCAGCATCATTTGTTGAAAAGGCTGTTCTTTCTCTATTGAATATGATATAGCACAGTATAACTGAAAACATTCAATTCAAAACATTGGAAACAGAGAATTAAGGTATTTTACTTTTTTGTAAAAAAT